TTGTGGGTCCCAATAAAGTTACATTGAGACTACAGACCTGGAGTTTGAATGAGATGTAGTAGTGTGGTCATTGAATCATAGTGTTTTAACTGAACTGTATACTTTATTCAACCTTTATTCAAACATTTTTAGTCTTGCAATAGGGGTGCCATCATGCCAGACATCTAGCTAAATAAAATTAGTAGTGTAACAATTAATCAAATTCTCGATTAATCGGATTATGACCGTTCAGTTCAATTCAGGATTCTTTGCTTCCGCATTTCGATTTTGGTTCAATTTTTGCACACCTTTTCCAGGTTGCCCTCAGTGAGTTATTATAGTCTAAAATAAGAATCCAGAACTCTTTAATGAGTGTTTTTGATTGACGAGCAAAGACGATAGCAGTTCGTGGGCCATTTTGAGTTGCCTGGCAAAAATGCTGTCCTTCAGCCTCCCCTTGAGAATTTCCAAATAGGGCAATTAACCATGTGCAACACACTCTTTATCAGGTTCTCAAACATGGCGACGAACCAAGTGACTGTGAATCTTCCTGTCTCTGTTACTATTGTTATATTGAGGGTTTAGGATTGCATGCTGTTTACACTGCGCGTTATCACGTTATGTTATAAGAATTAAGAAATGTTAATGTAATCGAATCGAAATCGAAAGGCAATAATCGAAATCAAATTGAATCGCAAGGAATATGAATATTTACACCCATAAATGAAATGAAATAAAGTTAAAACTAATGATAGCGATAACAAAATCTCTTACAAAAGATAAAATCGATAAATATATTTTAGCATTAATTATTGTACAATATATAGAGGATATTACATGGCTGCACGGAGATACAAAATTTCTCTTCGAGTGTTGAAAAATATTTCATGAGAGGACGCAGCGAACGAGTGAAATATTTTTTCAACACGAGAAGAGAAATTTCGTATCTCCAAGTGGCCATGTAATGTTCTATTTATTATATAAACACCAATGAAATACCAAACCATTTCACTTTAATAGTTTTTTGGTGTGAAAGGCACGATTTATTATGTAAGATAACATGTTATTTTCACATGTGAAGATACCAAGTTTTCGCACGAAAGCTCACCTGGTACATCATTGGTGTTTATATAATAATTAAAAATACTAAAAAAAGTTAAGCTAGATAAGACTGCCTTTATAGCTGGAGATTTTCGTTTCCCTCATCAAGATTGACAGAGGTAGTCCAAAATAATTGATTGATCAATGCTGGCACCTTCCTTCTCTTCAACCCCTTCCCTGATCCGAAAATAAAGTTCATTACTTATCTCTCGAGAATCTAGGGATCTTATACCGAGAGTTAGGTAATTGTAAGCTTCAACAATTCAAGTTATGCATTTTTATTTATTTTGTCAAAAATATCCATCTGTCCCTGGTTTCATAGTTAGTAACGTCGCAGACTTAAATCTTGGTGTAAGGACATAATGTGGTCTTGATAATCAACTCCTGACCTTGCACAATCTAGCTAGGCCTTACACTTCTTTCAATTCACAAGGTTACTTGCTCGTTGTTCGGTGGATTTCGCCTAAAAGAGCGAAAAATAGAAACATAGTCGCCGGCGCTGTACTTTACTAATCCGGATTCTGCAATAAACGACAAGTTAAATACTAAAATGTAAGACTTACCCGATACCGTCAAGTCATAAAATATTTTGTTAGAGGTCTTCGATTCGTAAGAATCCAGCAGATATCCGACTACTTTGCAGCCTGTCCGTTATTTCCACCTCAGGTTTTGAAATTTTGAGCCATTCACCTGTCTACTCAAAGTTTACAATGTTTACAACAATATGCTACTAAAATTGATCGCTTCCAAGACTTAAAAAGACCAAAAATTGGGCCGTGCCAAGAAAACGACTTTTTTGCCAAGAAAACGACACAAGATCTGGCAGGCGCTTCGCCTGCTGTCTCTACCCTTCCCATGGTTCCGTGCGGTTCATCACCAGTCACTCGTTTCGCGCTCGCCTCTGCCATGCGAAAAACGAAGCGCCTGAGGAGGAGGCTGCTCCCGAACTGTTTACGGCTGACCCTCCCAGCTTGTGGCGAGCGAAGGTGTGTTTCAGTTTAGTTGTAGCTGAGTTTGCAAGATGGCAGGAAAGTGCTCATTTATCTGTTGTGTATTACTTTTTGTGTCTTCTGTACGTGGAATTGATTATTCCCACACTGAATTGTTGAATGGAACTGCCTACAAAGTACATTGGATGTTCGATAATGAAACGGAGACATTTTACTTCAAAGTTGAAGTCAACACTACTGGTTGGGTTGGATTTGGCGTGTCACAACTGTTGTTTCCGCGGAAAGAGGGCTTGGAGTGGAATAGGAATTCAATGGACCATTATGATGTTATTGTCGGCGGAGTTGATGAGAATGGAACAAAGTATTACAAGGTTAGTATTCGAGATGGAGTGTGGTTCGATTCCGCACCACGGGTGATATGGTAATAAACTACGTAGCGGCTTCTTTGTTCAATTTTTTGTACGTATGATGTGCAAGTATGTGTGTCTGTACGTTCTTTTCTCCCATAAATGTCGGGTGAATAACGTGGGTTAAACTAGGGACAAAGTGTAGACTTGTCCTCTCATGATCAATTTTTTACTCAGTAATGGTCACGTACATTTCGCCGGCTGAGTTTAAACGAGACATGAAATTATAAATGTCTGAAATGTTGCGTGTTTTATCTAAGAAAAATTTCCATTGAATTATAACTAGCAATAGTTCTCACTAAAGCTGCCCCCACTTTTTTTTATATTATGGATTGTAGAGTATCTTCTGAAGTGAAACTTTGTACAGGGAATGACCCTGTTTTTTTTCCAACCCTTTTTATTGGGCTGCCCCGGCCGGGCAAAGCCCAATCAAAAAATGGAGGCCGCCTCGCCCGTGCAGGAAAAAGACAAAACGGCGGACGGATCAGGTTTCCCGTCCGCCCTCCCCTGCGCTGTTGCTAAACGTCTTTCTTTTTGAGCGAAAGTGGTGGGTAATTACAGATGAAAATGGTAGTGGTAAGGGAACAAAAATAATATTCTTGTCTAAAGATAATAGTCCTATCTTATCACCTAAAAAACAGGAAAAATTGATTGCGTAGTAAGCCTCTTGTGAAAAGCTCCTTTCACTTGTCTCCTGTCCCCTCAGTACTTTCAGTCACTACTGTAAAAGAGCCTGGATTGAAACACGTTTCAGTTCCAACACTTTATATTGCGAAGGGACGATCGGTTGCATTTGAATCAATTTGAAGAGGGAAATTCATGTTTGGAAACTGGACCAAGGCAATGCTCACTCCGCATACACATCCATACAGCGTTCATGGTAGGTCCACACTCAAAGATGGTTGTGAGTGTTTTTGGGACAGACCGGTCTGTGAACTCAAAGAGAAATGTAAGACTTGTAATGAAATGAGCAAACTTTATGAACTATCTGTGAGCATAAAATTAATGATGAGCAAACTATGATTGCAATAAATCGACTGAACACTTCACTGTGAGCTGTTGTATGGGGAAAAAAAAAACAACTCAGATGCTGCCTGGAAAAATGTTGGAAAAGTTCAACTGAAAGTTTATGTGTTGATGAAAACAACAGCATGTCTTACTATAAAAGGATCACACTTGAGCTCTCTTTGATATGCTCTGTCAATAATAAACAAATAGAAAAATAGGAACACCAAACAGCAATTACTCTTAAGTTTAATGGTTAAGGCTAGGAAACTGAGTGAATTGAATCCGAATCCTTATACATTCAACTTGAATAATCCAGCCTGGAGTGCGGCATTGTCGTATCAAAGATTTGCCAGTGATATATTCAAATCAAAAAAATAATGCAAGCACGAATACAAACTTCAGCTTCAGGTGTTGGGTCTTAGCAAATAATTTCTTCCTTCAAGTCCTTTGAAAGAGGACAAACAGAAATGATTCGAGGATAAGTAGTGTTTTTATTTATTTATTTATTGACATTTTTCTTTTCTGACGTGATTGAACTCGCATTCTAGTAGAAAGCCAATCAAGCATGAAGCATACATTCATGCAAATAATTATTTCTCTGGGGTCATTTCACATTTTATGATATCTTTATGTCATGATTGTGAAGACGTTCCATGAACTTGAATAATGTTATCTACTTTATCCAAGATCTGGAAAATACGGGAAGAAGACGATTAAATTTTTAATACACAAGAGTTGGAGGACAGAAAAGTAATTGGCAAAAAATGTCAGTCTGGACCAATAGCTCTGCTTTCATGTCATGTCATGTCACAGAACCAAATTGTCACACAAGTCGGCAGACCATTGTACCCCCATTTATGGGGTTCTTGTTTCTTATCTGAGAGGCGTTGTTATTTGAATAAATCTGGAAAGTGCAAGGTGAGAGGTTTTATTATCATCATATGCTTTTGCCCAGTTATCCCTGGTTTCACTCGCATGGGACTGAGGCGTAGGTCAAATGGGTTGTTTTCAGTCATGGTGCATTTCAATAATGAGCTGACTCTGGCCTCAGTTTATTGCACAAGTCAGATTTGTTGTAAGTAGCTCTCCCTAATGGACTTGATGTCTTTTATCTACTGTAATAAAGACAGATATGTTAATTTTTTTGAAAATTTAATCAAACAACAAGCTAATATGTATCTATTTTGAGTCAAACAGTTTAAGAGCTTATGTGTTGAATAATTTGAATAGAATTTGAATTTGAACATGAACGTCATAAAATATATCTACCGGTAACAGTCAGTAAATTATATCAAAATTATGAACATGTGTTGTTATTAAATTTGTGGTCTGCTAATGCAAGTTATAATATTTCTCACAGTCAAATTTGATAAATGTGGGAAAAAAACATGATGTAACCTCCAAAAAACTGTCAACTGCATAGGAATAAATATGAGAGGTGTTTAGTACAGAATTCATAAAATGTCCTGTCTTAGCAATAACTACTGGAGTTATTTCACACACATGTAGCTTAAGTTCCCCCTGGTTTTCATCTCCCATTGAGCTGCTGTAAGCTAAGGAATCTGTTACTTTACAAAATGTGTTGCTTAATTCATATATTGCGAAAACAATCCTTCCTTAAACTTTTTTTTCAGTGCAGCCAAATTGGAAAACTCTTTTACATCGGAACAAAGATCATCAATATAGGTCCATTTTTCTTGACTGAGAACTGCGCAAGTAAAATGTTTATCACATGATTGCACCATCCCTTTCAACTTGTATTCGGTTTGGCCTACATTTATATTTTTATACAACTTTATCACATTCATAAGCTCTGGAGAGAATTCAATAAAAACAAACTTTGAGTGTGCTACAGGGGTCAAAATTGGCCTAACACATAGGAGTTTCACAATCGAGAGCAGTTTAACTTTCCAGGGTAAGTTTGAATAGCAGAAACAAACTGTGGCCAGGAATTGTAATTCAGCTCAGATGAATGAAACACAACAATAACAACAATAGCCTGTGAAGAAGAAAGGGACATGTTTCAAGAACAGTCCTTTGATCAAAGTGTATTGAAAAAACTAACAGAGGAACTGTCGCAAACTAACAAAGTAAGAAGAAGGAAAAAGGTTCTGGCAGGGAAAGAGTGTGCAAGTATTCAAACATTGTATTTGCCCTTGCGTGTGATCTATTTTAGCCACTTGACAAAGGGTTTTGAGATAAACTAACAGCAGTTTTCCAAAAATTGCTACTTTTATGGCACTGCTCAAACTCTTGAACACAGGATGGTGAAAACTGTGAGAACATTCGGCCTCGTTGTAAACATTTGATGCACAGAAGTGAACTAAGTATTGTCAAGTCGCGCCGGCGGATTCGCACGTTCTCGAGAATGTTTACCTTTTTTTGGTAAGAGAACGGGTAAAGCAAACTTGAAAGTTACAGAACCATCTCTCAGGAATTCTCCTATTCAAATAGTTTTGTGAGTCTTCTCTTCTGAAGTGAAGCAAGCACACTTTCATTCTTTTAACACTGTGATAGTACATGTAAAGTGCTTACATTCGCCGTGCTGAATCACTTGAGTCCTTTCTTTCTTTGTAAAGAAACTTGTCAAAGGGAAGATAATCAACTTTCATTTCTGCTGGAAACTTGCAGTCTTCCTTCAATCAGCACGGTAACATCACTCATGAGTTCTGTTCCCTTTCTTATTAGGGAGCTTAAGCAAGAACTATGAAAATGGCAGAAAACATCACTAAAGAAATGAATTTTCACTTTTCCAAACTTTATTACAAATAATTATTTAGACATGCTCAATTTGTCAAATGTGGGTGATTTTTCCCAGATTTTAATCAATTCTTAAAGGCCTGTATCCTGATTAAAATAAAAAGGTAGAATTAGTCATTGTGTGTTCACGTCACCCATAAAACGTCACATTAGAGAGACTTTTTCACATCCTAGTTGTGTGGAGGACGTCAAAGAAAAGTACTAAAAAGTGTGGTGCACATGCAGAGCTGTTGTTTTGCTCATAAAACCAACTGTTTTTTCATGTTGTCATCTTCGTGGTTACTGAAGCTCTATATTGTATGATTGTACAAAAACCTGTTGCTAGACATTTTGTGTAATTTCCATTTATTCTAGAAAATAAGTACATCTACAGCTGCTGCCCCTTATCATTTCCATTTGGAACAGCGGTGTGAATGAAATACATGTATATTTGTACTCAAGAAAAAAAAGCCTCTCTTGGTTACCTGTTAAGGACCAACCGTACTATCACCAAGCTATTATGTCCTTCAAATGCATGAATATCCATATCTTACGTCCCGATTTATTACCCATGAGCAGGTTAGCAAACGAACAACTTGGAGTAGCCAAAAGCTAAACATCCCTCTTTTCAGAACAGCCTCCAGAATGAGAACCTTTTATTGCAGGATTGTTAAGCTTTGGAACAATTTGGAACCTTTTCTTAAATTAAGCCAATCTCTTCAAATTTTTAAATGTTCCTTAAGGAGCCAGCTTTTAGACAATGTTGTAAATACTTTGTAGTTAAGTTTAAAAACATTGTAATTAGCATTAAGTTGAGTATTGTGATTAGTTATTATAAATAATGTAATGCTTTTAAATAATGATTGTTCCTTTCCTTTGGGGAGGTAACAATAAAGTATTTATGTATGTGACAGGCAAAGAGTTGATTTCCTTCTTCCTCTTAATGTCACCTTTCTTGTGAATGGCAATATTTTTACATACAATGGATACACTTGCATATTTTTTGGATCCATGGACAAAATGACAGGCTACTGGGAGACATCACTAGCATCACAGTATTTAAGTTTGGCACTTTCCAACTTACAACTGAAATTCCCCTGTAGTCAGTGACAGTTGCGGGCATCACACCATCATAACTTTGTTTGATTTGATTGTTAACATCAATCTTTGGATACTTGTATCTCTCAGGATTACATGACAGATGGGAATGTCCATCCCACCCCAGATGCCAAACAGGGGTCTGACTGGATTGTAACAAATCTTACTGAAGTGGATGGCAGGACGATGATAGAATTTACAAGGAAGCAGAATACTAGTGATACTGATGACCATGTCATTGGGGTAAGCACATTGCACTGTAACGGTAAAACATCCTAACTTATAGTTCAAAATGGTGAAGATCTTATTAATGTAGACCAAAACTGTGCGTGCTTTTAAGCTAACAGTGTTTACCAATGTTCCCCCTAATTTTTAGCTCAGCAAGTGAGGGACCATCAATGGACAGTAAGGCAAAAGATATGTGCCAGAGGCGCACTTTCCTGGGGAGGGGAGGGGAGGGGAAGTGAAGTTAGGGACATGACCCTGCCCTCACTGGGAAATTTAGGAGCTAATTAAGTTCTCTGAAATGTCATTCCCTCATTTTAACCCATTCGCCCCTGAGCTGCCCATAACTCCCTGTGCAGATCCATGCCCTTTCTACTGCTTGTGACATCATCAGTTTTGATGTTCAAGGACAATTTTGTCCGCCAACTTGTGCAGAGTGAAGAGATCTTTCGGACCGTACCAGAATGAGCACAATTCTGTCAAGGACACCAGAGAAAAAGGCAAAAAACCATGTAACATTGACTGACCCTAATCTTGTTCCATTACCCACCTACCTTTCCTTTCATCTAATCCTAAGATCCTAAAAGCTTTTTCCCACCAAAATGAAGCCTACTAAATGCCCAGCAAGAGAAAAAAAAAATCAAAAAAAGCAAAAAAAGAGGGGAGGAGAGAAAGAGAAAATAAAAGTCAAGACTGCTTGTTTTCTGCGCATGCATGCTTGAACTTTGCAAGCTTAAATATTTTGTATCTGGATCAGAAGTCCGTGAAGTGTATGACCTGTAAACGGCTTTGTGCTAAGTTTTAGCTCGTTACAGTACGACAATGACCAGAAAACCACTTGATTACTATAGCTTCAAAACGTGTTTTTCGGCAAAATCTCCAGGGTTAATACCTACTGTAAAACACCCCGAAAATTACCCCCTCCATGATCGTACAAGCCCCTCCAAACTGAAAATATTAGCCCCCCAAATTTGAACACAAAAACACCTTCGTTAAATCTCTAAGCTCTTGGGGGCTTGTACTTGGAAATTGCCCTCAAATACAAAAAAACAGACAAAGCAAAAACAGTACAGCAACATATAATTTTTTTTATTTGCCTAAGAACTATTACATGTGCCAAAGTGATTGCAGTCAAAAAGTGTTACAGTTTATTGCTGTTTGCGTAGTTCACTCCTCACTCTTGACTTGGGTTTCTAGTTGTTAAGATACTTTGTGCTCCATACTTTATCATTTAACATTAATTTACCTTTTAGCGGAGTATTGCATTTCAATAAATGAATTTGCCATTGTGTCTTCAGGGATTTCAATAAGCACCGACGACCGACAAAACACATCGGCTACTTTGCTCAGAGCAGTCAGCTACTTTTTTCCTCAAAAGGGAAGCAATTAGTTTAAAAATGTCCTAAACAAAAAAATATATCATTAATTGATTGTGTGGCTGTGAAACCTGAATGAAAGCTATATGTTTTTAATTGAAAAATACGCTCTTCTGACGTGCTCAATTAAGTCCCGGGAACACTGGAAATCGCATTTTAGGACTTTGAAATTCCAAAATTTTCCTGGGGTAGCATACCCCAAGACACCTCCCGGAAGAAGGGGATTAACACCCCCTTGTTGATACAGTCGGTTTGTCTATTTAAACCTGCTGGCTACATGTACTTCAATTGTTATTGAAACCCGTTTAAAAAGATCTACGTCCTCACGATGGGTTCAGTCAGTAAAAACTTCTTGCAAATTACTGACATAAATTTCCTTCCAACCATAAACTAGCCCAATCGATTTTTAGACACAAATTTCATTCCAAGTATAAGCCTAGCCGATTTTGAAAAGCAAATTTCCCTTCGCTTATTTTCAGAATTTTACACAAATCAGCCGTTGTTATCTTCAAGCAACAATTTAAAACATTTGATTCCAAAACTTTTACTCTGTCTGAAACGATCTCTTTCCAAAATCATTGCTTGTAAAAGAACAGCTGTATACTTAAGTACTTTCTTCATATACATGTATTCATTCCAGCATTTCCTTGTGAGAGTTGGATCAGATCACAACTTGCATATTTTTTAAGACTACTTATTTATTAATTAACTTTAGTAAACCTTCAAGCGGTTGTAGGCGGTAAGAACTGTTGCTTCAGGTCGTAAATTTTCCGGTTACAGTGTCTGCATGATGAGGAGAACACTCAGGTTTACAATGTGTTTGAAGTTGTCAGTGATAAACGTAGGCGATTGTTTTGAAAGAGAATACCTACAGCTGTAAGTTGGCCGGCGGGCACTTTTTTCTCTCTTGCATGACTTTTACATGTAGCATTTATGAAGTCATTCGCGTGGCTTGTAAACAAACCACAGCTTGTAAACAAACGAACGACTCCATAAAAGCTAAAAGCCATACAAGAGAGAAGCCTCTGCTAGATTTAATCTTTCTGTTTGAGACAAGAGTGGTTACTAAACTACCGTAATAATTTATTGTTATAAACATTATCTAGATAAGTCTGGCCCTTCATGACACTTCCCAGAATTAAAGTAAATCGTTGTTATTAATTTCTATAGTGATTGTTCATTTTTCATGTCTTAAAAACCAGGTGAATGATGCTTGAAGTTTGCTAAATTTTCATGTGGCAGGCATCCCAGACTTCCTATATTTCCTATTTACATGTATCCAATAATTTGTACAGGATCCTATAAAGAGGCTATATTTCAAGAAATGCTCCTGTATTTGCTATAAATAGGACATATTCTGATATCTGCATTTTGCGCTGTGAAGCAGTTTTGTTGTGAATTAACAAAATCAAAATTCTTTATCGGTAAAAATAGTATTCCCTTACCAATGATTCTTATTTGGTGAAGCTAATTAAATTTAATATTAAAATAATTATGATTCAAAACTACTTAAATTTGTTGCAAAGTTTTTGTTTTGAGTAAACTCTGTGTTCCCACAAGAAGCAGTTGAAATTTGCAATCGCTTTTTTGTCCGCCATTTATGGGTTTTGCCAAACCTGCCCACCAATATCAAAAGACATGACGCAAGTTACTTGTTTTTAGTATGAAATCTACTTTTAGCTCCTATAAAGAGCCTATATTTTGAACTGGTACAGCCTATTTTTCCAATCAGATTTTCCAAAAAGTGGCTGGGATGCCTGATGAGGGGATAATAGTTTAAGTGTATGACAAATGGCCAAAATATTAATTATTATTACTGGTAAAAAAATTATCATACTAGAATTGATTGCATGGTATGTAATATGGTTCTGTGGATCATTGTAAAATTTAACTTGAGGCAGGGTCTGACAAATGTGAAAAATGTGGCAAGTTGAAAAAACTGCCAGGCACGTGTTTGACATCCGGGCAAGCTGTAACATTTTGACTACCGTATTTATTCGAATAAGCGCCCAACCTCGAATTAGCGCCCACCTCGAATAAGCGCCCATCCTAAAGGCAGAAAAATTTAATAAGCGCCCAGCCTTGAATAAGCGCCCACCCCCCACCTCCTCACAATCAAACTCAAATAAGCGCTCGCCCCCACCCCATCCACTTGAGTGAATAAATTCTAATAAGAGACTTCCCCAAAGACGGAGTTTTCTTCAGAGTATTTTACAGAAGCCTTGCTTTTTTACTTCTTCGCGTTTTGTTGTTAGCATTATTGTTTTGTTGCAAAGTAAACATACTTCACTTGCTGAAAATAATGAACACTTAATAAGCGCCCAGCCTCGAATAAGCGCCCACTCTCAAGGTCCAAAAATTTAATAAGCGTCCAGGGCGGTTAATCGAATAAATACAGTAACCGGGTATTTTCCGCAACTTTCAAAAACATGGCACAGAGGCCTATGATGCTTCATTCTCTCTTTTGGTTTGTTACAACTTTGTTTTGTTTTATTTACCAAATGATTTTCATTAATAAGTTACTAACAGTGCTCCATGGTCAAAAAGCTCAAAAGATTACACAGTAGAGAATTAGATGGAACACCTGTTTAGAGATTTTTATGATTGCAACAGATGATTGAATTTTTTTTGGTCAATCCGATTGTTATTTTTTGATAATTTACATGTATAGCCTGTATTATGAAATCTTGCCCCAATTCCCTACACCAACAATTGCTGTTTTATAATCACTCTTGATATTATTAATAAATTATACTCTTTCATTTCCAGAAATATTATGCTCTGTACTGAGTTCAGTGCCCTTAATATCTTATTTCCAGCACTAATGCCAGTATATATGACTTTCAAATTGATATTCTTACTCCCTACTGGGTTCTTTGCGGGCACTGTTTTTATGGTACGTTCAATTTTATATTGAAGGAAATTACAAGTATGTGAGGTGAAGTTGTATGGTAAGCCAATTTTTTGTTATTTTTACAGCCTGGACTTCGGTGGATAGTGTGGTCTTATCATAATTCATCAGACGTGACCACAAAGCCAGACTGGCAGAAACATACAGCTAATGGACATTATGAGATTGATTTTATTAAGTTACCAAGAGAACCACCTGTGGTGGAATATGTCCGAACTGAAGCACCCACTTCAGGTGCTTTTGCAGCCTCTGTCATTGGTAACTTTCTTCTTATAATTGTGGGTTTAATATTCTTTTACTAGTCTTGAGTTGTGCAAAATTTTGTATTTGTGTCTGCTTTTACTTCATGCACTGTGACTGAATGCAATATTGTGTTTTTAGATGTAATAATTGTAAGCAAAAAAATACGTGTATGCATTGGTTAGATTAAAGGTTATCATAAATTGTATGTACAGTGGTACAACAGGTATGACTGTTATGAAATACAGGTTAGATTAACGTCTTTTGAAATGATTATTGCAAGATAGCCAGCCACTTCAGTATATTCTACACCTATGCTCTTTTTTCAAGATTATGGTGGGAGCTAATTTAAGATTCTACAGTGTACACTCTACATGAATAATAAATAACAAAATTGATACAACCCATTGAAAGGAAAAGAAATCAACTGTACATCTCATCCAAACTCTACCTGTCAAATATATATATGCCTTGATAAGCTAATAAAACATTTTGGATGCATCACATAAATGCAAGCGTAATTGGCTTGTGTCAAGTGAAAATAAATGACAGAACAAGTGCAAAGCGCAAGAAAAAGAAAAATTTTAATTATTCTTGCTGCTTGCATCAAGACTCTTTACACTCTTACCCCAGTGGTTGAGTTTTTACTTACGTTGGGGGAAAAAAGCAGGCTATCCGATTCAAGTATTATATGCATAAGATTTAACCCATTCGCCCCTGAACCGCCTCTAACCGCCCGTGCGGGGCCCCGTGCGGATCCACGTCCTTTCTACCCTTTGTGACGTCATCAGTTTTAACGGTCAAGGACAACTTTGTTCGCTAACTTGTGCAGAGTGAAGAGATCTTTCAAACCATACCAGAATAAGCACAATTAAGTCAAGGATAGCGGAGAAAGAAGCAAAAAACCATGTGCCATTGACCTGAAAATCTCCATGAAAATCTTGTTCCATTGCTCACCTACCTTTCCTTTCACCTAATCCTAAGATCCTAAAAGCTTTGCTAAAAACTCTTCCCACCAAAATGAAGCCTACAAAATGCCCAGCAAGAGAAAAAAAAGGGAGGCAATGAGGCAAGAAACGCGAAGAGGGAAGGAGAGAAAGCCAAAAGTAAAAGTCAAGACTGCTGTGTCACTTTTGAACCCAAAAACTCTCGAAATTTTGCTTTCTGTGCATGCCCGAACTTCGCAAGCTGATATTTTGCTTCTGGATCAGAAGGCCGCGAAGTGTACGACCTGTAAACCGGTTCGTGGTAATTTTTAGCTCTTTATAGCACGACAGTGACCAGAAAACCACTCGACTAGCTTCAAAACGCGTTTTTCGGCAAAATCTCCAGGAGCGAATGGGTTAAAGATAAAATGGCCAGAAATGTGCATGTGTTGGTCTCAGAGACCGGCCCACGTATCATCATCCAGCCCGTTAGTACAGTTGAGGTACACAAGGTTTAGAGTGTCTGCGACGTAGGCTAATCTCACTGTGATGTTGATGTTAATTGCTTTGAATATTAAAGGAGATTGTAGGGTTTTGACATTTTAGCTGTTACATTGGTGTATAATGGTATTAGGTCTCACGTTTTTATAATGTAACAAGGATAGTTTGGCAAAAATAGTGGCTGAAAACTTGGAGCTTGTAAAAGTGACAAGTGGCATATCCAACATGAAAAATGGTGTTTCATTACATCAAACATCAAACTCGGAAAAAAGAATTGAAAATAAGCTTAGTGTTTTATTTTGAGGGAATGTCTAGCTGCTTGAGAAATTGTGATGAGACACTGTTTTAATCACTTCTCTCAACAAAATGATTTAAAAGGAGAAATCAAGTATTCCAAAGTGATGAACTTTTTATCAGGCATCGTTTTTCTTTTGTTTTTATTTTTTTATTTTTGTTAGTTATTTTAAAACTACTTTACTTTTTAACAAATGAACTACAGTTTTTATGTCATGTACACTATGTCAGTAATTTGAAGATAGTCAGTGTTTTATCATTGATATTAAATAGCTATTTTAAAAAACTGAACTCTGAACTATATAATCTTAATGGGTGAAGGTGTACATTTTACCTCATTTGTAGTTGTTTCATGTTAGGATAAGTTTGTTTATTAAGAACTGTTATTATATTGAACTTTCCTCTTCTGGGGTTTTTGAATTTACACAGCTCTTGGGGGGAAAAAAAAAACTGCATTCAGTGCTTAATCGTTGTTGTAACATAACAAGCGAAATTTGTTCCATTACACCTTAAAACAGTCGCATCTTTTTAAAACAAATACGACCGAGGCTGTTGGATAAGGAAGGGGTACATTGTACCTATATATTATAGAGGTTTTTAACCTGCTACTGCTACTCAAGTACCTCATAATACATCGTAGTTTGAATGAGTCAGCCCGTGTCTTTGAAAGAAGTTCTACAAAGTAGAAATGTAGAGCTGTATCCTAGAGTCAGGAGAGGTTTGCTCTTTATTGCATTGCTTTAGACACAGTAGTAGTTATTAGTATTGGTTCTGTTAATGCTGCCGCTGGCCGTACATCATAATTTCCCGCCTCACCTTAAAGGGCCTATATGTCATGGTGAGTTCAACATATTTATTTAAGAGAAGCTGAAATTATAACTAAGTATTTTCAGCCATCTTTTGACTGTCATACGCAAAACTCCTAAAAGATAGATTTCAATTTTTTCTGTTGAAAGGTGAAAACAAAGCACGCTTTTTAGTCTTAGTGACAACACACGAAAAAGTCAGCGTGGTTTTTTTTTTTTTTTTCAAACTGCAATCCGTTTTCATTCTGTGGTACCTATCGAAAGCTAAACTGAGCCTGACGTAGCTTGAGTTATGGTATATTAGTAGAGTAGTTTTGAATAAAACTTAGCCATCATTTCGGGATTTCGTTTGATACCAATGTTTTAAGTGAATCCAAAAATTGTAACATAGCTCCCTTTCCAAACTTAAAAGCTTTAAAGTACTGTACCAGGGCTCGCACTTTATACTTTACTATAGCGGTCATATACTCACAAGTATTAGTTGTATAAATCTGTTCGAGATGTTACTCAAGCATGTACATTAAAATTTATTGTGAAGTATCATCCTGTGTCTGCTGGTTGTAAGTTATGGGAGTCTGGCTGTACCGTATGCACGTACCCTGGATATGACAGAAGCTACAGATAACTCCGAGTGCCTTTTTCTAATCCTGTCAGAAGAAAGTTGCCGTGGATGAGAGAGTCACTTGTATCCTTAAAAAGGGAAGAAAGCGGACTACAAAGAAAAAAATTTACAGAGCCCTCCCCCCCCCCCACCCCTCACGTTTTGGTGCCGAAAAACACTTTTACTGATGTAAAATTTTACTGATGTAATTGACAATACCTGTGACATGCATCAGCGACTTCAGAGGGCACATTTTCTGCCCTCAGATGACTCAAGAACTACCAAGGAAGCACAATGAAGCAGGACCGCCTGAACAACTGCCCACTGATGCATTGTCACAAATCGATTACGGACACACTAGACACTTTGAAGATTGCTTGTGTCAACAAACAACTTAAACGGTATTTTGGAAAATTTGACTAGGGGTATAGGTATGGCTGAGTGGAAGATGAGCCCCCCCCCGCCCCTCACCCATCTCCCGCTTTTCAAAACGCTCCGCCGCCTCTGGAGTGGCTTCCCTGTCGTCCCAGAGAATTTCTGCAATATTGTCGAGGGTCTGTGACGTAAATTTTTGTCTAATCCAGTGAATGTCGATTTATCCCGATCCCCGTGACCCGAGCATATCTTTTCTTTTTAAAAAGCCAAGGGTTTGGATGCATCCTCACCTTCCAATGCAACACAAAAAGTGGTGAGATCAGTCACGTGACAGGATTAAGGGCAAAGTGAATGTTGAAATAAAAGCTTTAATAACATTTTAATAATGAAGAAAATACAGTCTGCCCTTCGAACTGCCATTTTGGTTCTCTAAGGCAATATTTCCCCAATCCGGGATTAAAAATTAAAAAACACCAAATAGCAAGTCACGTGCATAAATTCAATCCCGCACCTTGTTCTCCCTCGACTCCTTCTCAGCGATTTCCGGCTTCAAACTTGCTTTGGAGTAAATCCTTGATCCCGAGAAACGCTGTCATTGTCTTGCCACGTCTAGAATTTATTCAACGTAATTCTTAGTCCTGAAAAACCTTATGAGGACAAGACATTATTTGCAATTCGAATTGCTCGCTTTTTGATCAGTGCACCCCACATAGATGGCCTTTTTTGAGAGATTAAAAGAACACCTGATGATCGTTAGGTAGTACAATAACAATAACTAACCTACTAGCGAAGGTTTCTTTCCGGGATGGTTTTTAGCATTTACGGTCCTAAACAAGACTGCTACCCAATTTGATGACGCGAGCGACTTCCAAAATGCTAGAAACCCGTACCGGAAAGCAGGGTGAAAAAATCAAATCAATGCCACGTCTCAACGTTGCCGAAGAATATGAGGTTAACGACTTTTTCAAAACTTAAAACTGCAAATTATAGGTTCGTAGCCCGAGAAAACATGATTTTCTGAGGTTAGCGTTTCCGACCTGCTCTTGGTTCACTTAGTGGCCGGGTTTTTGTATACCCGAGGTGACGTAGCTCACCCTCAGTCAGGCAGCAGATCACATGCAATCTGTTTAAGACCCAGCCCAGAATGTCTTGAACTGAATTTAAAGCTCACAGGCCTACTGGCCTGTGGTTACAACAGGATATTAAAAGCCAACAACATATACGACACGCGTACAAACATACAAATGATACTGGAAGTTACATTCTAGTTTTCCTGTCCACTTTGACCGTTTTCTTTCGTTCGAGAAAAAAAAACAATGTTAAAGAACGAAAAAAGCGCTCCCACTCCCCCCCCCCCCCTACTCCGTTAACATTTCCCTTCCGACTTTTTCAAGGAAAACTATCGCCAGAATAGGGCCTATTTTGTGCATTTATGGTGTTTTTTATTTGTTTGAGAAAAAAAAAAAAATTTAAACAAAGAAAAAACCCCCCCCCCCCCCCCCCCCCCCCCTTCGCAGTTAATATTCTCCTTCCGACTTATTAAAGGAAAACTATCGCCAAGATGGGTGCTAATTTGAGCATTTAGGGTGTTTTTCATGTGATTGATGGAAGGCTCAGACGAAAGCCAAGTGCAACTCATGTGCCCTTGACTCCGAACACCTGTCCAATCCCACAATCCCACGCGACCCTGCAATTGTCAGAGAAAGGAAAAACAAGTCCGGAAAAAAAATCTCGTTTCATGCGATGGAAGGGACGAGTAGCGGGGGATATTATCGAGAATTTTGCTCGAAATGAAACTGGTGTAAGAAGTACTTCAACCAGTAAAACTAACCAAATATGATACGAACACAAATTAACGCTTCGGAGCTCTCAGAAAAGGTGAGTTTCTTGGTTCGATGTCGGACGGGAAGTCTAATTGTTCTTTCTTTTATGCTCAATTCAAATCATTGCGTACTGTGCTTTCCTTGGAAATGTTTGCGAAGTCACGGACGTTTTCAAACAGGCCACATATGTACAATTTATAATTTTCGAAATATTTAAGAAAAGCATAATATGTATTAAGGTATGTTTACAGCATTGCTTTCGTTCGATTATTCGAAGCCTTTGTTGATAGGTACATGTGGCTGTATTATTTGCAATCGATAATCAAAAAAAGATTGTGTTTCATGGTTTACCCATCAGCAAAAATTGGATGTTTATTCGCTGAACCTTACTTAGTTTAATGGTGGCTGCCATATAGGTTGTATTGTCGGTGACCGGTTGCCAAAAACTTCCCAGTATTTCAAGCTTTGCGCGATTTCGTGTTTTGAAAAAGCTGTCTAATCAAATGGTGTTATGTCATTGCTTCTCTGCCGATAAATGAAGCAATTGCAGTGGAATAGCGTACGAAAGGTATAGTGTATCTACATTTAAAGAAACAGCATTTTAAATTTAGTACTGGTAATATTCTGTTGACGATGTTTTTGGCTTTCTTTTCTCGAATCCATGTAATTTGAATTTTACACTAACTCTTATTATATAAATTTTAGGTTTCTATACACTGCCAAGACCCAATCAATATTTGCGGGTAGCAAAGTTAATTCACGTCATTTTTTTTCTAAGAAGGAATCATAATGCGACAGATTTAGTGACTCAATAAATTATATTAATAACAAAGTGAGAATTGTGATTACAAGGATACAGTGAATGTGAAACAGCTTTGATGCATCTCTAAAATACAGAGGGCTTAATTCTTTACCTACGTTTGATAATCATCAATTAGTAATAACACAAACCACAATGGTTTGTTCTCTTATGTCGGTTAAATCATGGTAAATATATTCTCTATTTTAATTGAACTTACTATAACAGAAACAGGTGATGGGTAGACTGATTTTTTATATGACCCCTTCAATTCTTCACAGGTTAGAAGTGAATTAGAAAGTATTGTGTACAGTCTTGATCTACATACCAAGCCATAGTGGCAAGTCAATTTTATATAATCAGTAGCCTGTCTCATTTGCCAAGCATGATTTTTAATGGTATAATTCTTGATAATCATATTTGAATATCCCAGTCAGTATTAAGCATGCATTCCAGGGTTGCATATTGTCAGGTATATGACACTTCAATATAAACAATGCAAGGGAAATTTTATATCCTGAACGACAGATGACTTCCTTTGTTCTACCAGCTAGCAGTCAATTTTGCAGGCCTTTATTGGGCCGTGTAACTAAGTGATTAGAATGCTGGTATTGCATGTAACTGTAATTGCTAGCTGCATGGATTTGTTCACAGTTGTCCCAAGTTCAACCCATTAGCCATGCTAGTAAATAGCTATATAGCTGGTTCGTTGGAATAAGTGACTGTGAAAAATACCATAGTACTCTCAAATTGCTGCTCACGTAGAACTTCATGTAAACCTGAAGTTCACCTATCTTTTGTTTCTTGCATGAACTGCACGTGTCATAAATTGCCAGTTTCTAAAATAGAATTTAGAGTAGGTACACTGTATAGGAGGCTTGCACTGGAACCTGTAGCTTTTTGTCTGATTAAAGACACCTTCCAACTCACTTCTCTTGTTGCTGAACTCCGGTCCTGAAAGTTACAATAAGTGAAAGACAAAAGTAGTTGTTACATATTGTAAAAGTATACTTTGGCCAACAATGCCAAAACATTTGTGCAAATACCCTGAGTATGTAAATTTTTTACAAATTGTGCAAATCATGCACATTTAAGATAATATGCAAAGGTACTGAAGTACTACCCAAACGGCAAGTTTGAGAATATTATGGTATTTTTCTAAGTGGCCTTAGAAGTGAGTCAGGCTTGTATGCACCATGGAATTGATACTCTTACAGTACATGGTCTCCTCTCTAGTCTGACCACCCTTTGAGCCCCCTTTATCAAGTTAGAGGCAAATGTTGGTTAATAGACAGTACAGTGCTGCAGTGTGCAATGCCACCATTATTTTGGTTTTCAGAGTGCTCTACTATTATTTAAACAAGAAACTAACCAGTACCCATGCTATACTCTGTAGTCTGGTTAAAGCTGCCTGAAAATCCTTTCAAAGAAATGCATGGGCAATGCAAATAAGAGATAACCTTTTCTTTAGCATCATACACTGTACCCCCTAATTATAATACGAGTTACGCATTATCTGTTCATGGTGCCTCCATCACGGATATTATAATGTTTTCCAGCAATTTTTAGACCGATGCCATAAGTTATGTTTTATATCAGTGCCGTTGAACATTAGATGTCTACTGCACAAACAGGAAAAGCAATTTTGGAAAAACTTTAACAGTGTGATACACAATGTAACCACACACTGAATTCCTCTTTTCCACAAGAGATGTTTTTTTTGAAATACGACCTGAGATACAAAGGCTGCCATAGGCTTTAGATAAACACAGATTGCTGTAAGAATACATTTGTAAACAGATTACTTTTGAATACAGTGTACATGTACAACCTTTTCTGATGATTCTGTGTGTATAGAGATATTCACAATTTTTAAATATTTTAAATCTTTTTATAATTTCCTTGTTAAATATATTTTTTTTGCATTTTAAACCTTGTTA